TGAAGCAGATCTCTGCTTCATCAGCTTCTTTTGGGGTCCACAGGTGACATTAGGGGTCCTAGGGACCCCTAATGTCTCCATAAAGAGGACCTGTCAGTGTGCCTTTGCTATTATATAGGGGGATTGTTATCCCCCTATATAATAGCAATAACAATAAGTGCAAAAAAATGGGGGGCTGGCTTAGCAACACAGCACTGACCACAAGCTCTCTCCAAAACTTTAAGACGGCTCTGTGTACAATGCTGCAACATCACCAGCACCGCTCCCAGCTCTCCAAAAAGACCAAGCTCTGGATACACAGCAACGGCCAGCTTACCTGTCACTACTTCCAACAGGACAAACCAAAGTCATCGGAGACAGGGCTGGGGGCTGTCGTGGGATCTGATGCAGAGCGCCTGAGCTGTCATGGATGAAGCCTTCTTCTGCTTTTTTAAACATTGTATCTAAAATATTATAAAAGTAATTTCCAAGAAATCCTCTCCCCCCCCCCCACACACACACACACATGAAATTCAGCCTTCACTTGTGTTATGGGTTTTTCTACTGATTCCTCTGCATTTAACCTCACTGATTAGTTGGTGGAGGAGATGGGCAAGCTGTTGCTTAGGTCAGATAAGATACTATGGATTACTGGAGGCATGCCAATGTGACCAAAAATAGAAAGTAGATTGCAAATTGAACTGGCTTGATTAGATGTGAGTTGTGATTTGTATCACTTGCAGATAACTGAGATTTAAAATGTTGATAAGCATGCTCTTTGATATCAATTCCCACATATAAAATGTTTTAATCATTTTGCTATATGATTAAAAGGATAAAAAGGATACCAAAAATCACACGCACAACTATCCTGCATAGGGATGAAACTGCTGAAGCATGATTGCTACCCATGAATGCTTGAAATTCCACGGTCCTTGTACTTGGCCTCACATAGTATCATTATGTTTTTCTAATTAAGCAAAAGGATAAGGAATTTCTCAAATAATGCAGCACTTTACGAAGGACTTAGCAACCTGACATAGTCATGGGCAAACTTAAAAGGGAACCAACCAGAGGGTGGGACAAAGGGTGGGACAAATGTGAGAGAACCAAAAAGAATAGTGATAACTTTTTGCCATCATTCTGTCCTTTTAACACGTAAGAATTATTTAACACATTTCCTTACTATTGCAGGTGTAGACAACCTCGGCACACCACCTGTGGTGAAACTACAACGTACATATTCCATCATGTTAGAATCTTGCAATGCCTCATGGGGCTTGTAATTTAACAACAGCTGGAGGGCCAAAGTTGCCTGCCCCTGTACTATTGTAAACATGCTGCTGTTTCATTACTTCATAAACCATCTTTAGCGAGCCTTTTGCTGAACATTTCTTACTCAGCAATATTTTCATATTATATCATTGTTGGACAGGCTGTTTGAGGTGTCAAGGGATGGGCAATTGTAACCAGTCTCTGCTGCAATTTAGTTCAAGATGTCACTACTACTGATAGTGCTGAAAGATGGCTTTGAAGGGAATATCAAAACCTTAAGTAAAACCTATTTTAGATGATACCAAGAGTCACTGCCATTGATTAAGGACTTCAAATTGTCTGTGTTCTGTTGCAATCAGGCTCCAAATAAGACCGTCCTATGAACCGAATATATCCTTAATGACAGTCTGGAGGCAAGTTGTGCATATCTTGATAAGATAAAATCCATTATGTATTACATCTGCAACATATCTCATTTAACATCTGTAAGCTTTTCAGAAAGCATATTTTGTAACATCAATAAATAAAATAAAAAAACAGGGGTATGGAAAGCTCTTCCAAGTCTGTTATTTATACACCTGGCACAGCCATTCCGATCAATTTACAGTTTCTTGAAAAAAATGTGCTGCATCCACCCTGCACCAGAGCATGAAAGGGCAGCAATCAGAATAATTTTATGTTAATGGAAACAATAAAATACTTGTTTTCAACTGAACAATAATATGTTTTTACTAAAATGGATTGCTTTTAGTATGATCAATGGTACTCAGCTAGGGTTGGATATTTAGCTCTTGTAATTTGTCTGAGAGGCCTCTTAAAACATAATTGTTTCTCTTTTTAAATTTAAACATAATTATTAGTATGGCACATGTCAACCTACTGCTAATTTACTTCAAGGTTGTTTTGAACATGTAACATAAAAAGTAGGAATTTGTTTGTTGTTTTTATTTATTTATTTTCTCCCCAGCAAATCCTAATTTTGCCTTTGGATGCTATCTTGCTAAATCTGTTTTATCAACTACCCCTCCAACACCCATTGTACTGCTGGAGTGCAAAAGATGCTCAAAAATTTAAGACATAAATCCCTGTTGCATTTTACTTTGCCATTAAACAACAAATAAAAGCCTGGCTAACTTTTAGGGGTAGATTTAGCAAAGGCAATCTGTGTTTATTTTAAGTGCCAGATCATTTACAAAGAAATTGAAAGATAGAATTTTGCCCCACAAAATATTCAACACAGCTTCACTTTCCTAAGTAAATATTCTCTACTACTTTAGTAAATCAAAATCATTGTTCTTTCATAGAACTCAAAACAATTAAATCTAGGGTTGGTTGTCACTGGGGAGAGACACTGGGGTTGATTTACTAAAGCAAATATAAACTGTTTACTTTGCAAGAGAATTGACACTTTGCAAGGGAAGTTTTCCTTAAGGTCTCCACACACCTTACGATAATCGTACGATAATCGCGGGAAATCCCGCGATCATACGATTATCGTAAGGTGTGTGGAAGCCGTGCGACCTCTACTACTGTATCAGTAAACCAAGGGGAAACTTTCCCTACAAGTACCTACTCTTGGATTATCTAAAGCAAATTTAGTTCCATTCTAAACATACTGTACATACATAAGTACATAAGTACATTACATTTTAGTGATAAAAACAATATATTTAGAAATAAAACACAAGACATATAAAATGTGCTTAACATCTCTACTTTGAACATGCAAATCTGTTAAAATTGAAATCATATCTACAATTGTTTTACTTTTTAGCATTTTGTTTTTAAATAGAACAATCCATATTCATATTATATCTCTTCTGGACAAATCTATTAAAACTTCAGATTGCACAAACAAGAATGTTATAATAACTGTATATCTTCTGACATGAATAAAACTATTTAAAAAATAAAAAAAACTTCAGATTGAATTTTAAATTCAGTTAAATCTTGCTACTAAGGATGGGGTTTGCATGGGCTTGAAGATCCCTGAGCAACATAATTGCTCTCTTGTACCTTTTCTGACAGCCGTTAGTGGCTGACTATGTGCCTACATTTACTTCTACGACGAATGGAGGCTATTCCAGTTCATGCTGCTTGTTGGTGTCAATCTGCAATTCAGTGAGCCAAAAGTGCATGAAGCTAAATTCCTGGTATACGTATTCATGGACATGTACCAATATGTGGCATACCCTTTGGTAGCCCTATATTCATCATAGAGATTAATAGAGGTCCGAAACAAAATAGATGTCAGTCAAAGACAGTGCAGAAGTAGGCATGAAAATTTCAGAGCTTCACAACGGTTTTAGGGCATCCTAAGACTGGATACACACCTTTGCATTGCCTTATCACCACTCGCAGTACTGCACCATGCATTTATTGGTGTGTTGCAGTGCTTATTTAAATGGCATCTCAGTGTATTAAAGCAATGCACCTGTGTTGCACTACCATGTGTTGCCATGTGATGTGTTCCCAAGAAAGTGTCAGGTTGATCATTAGTGTGCTGGGATGCCTTGGCAGCCTATTCAAAATTTAAGGACTGCCTTGATACAATGCACATTCACATGTGACATTATGCACATTAACCAACCATACAGGCGTACATAATTCCAAGGAATTATCCTCTTGGAATATCACAAATCAAGATGGGGGATGTATGTTGTATTCATTTCTGTTTATTCTTTTATACATTTAGAAAAGTATATCTATACTTTTATACTTTTTTCTATCTAAACCCAAGAGTAGCCCTTTGAACAGCCCTGTGGCTTTGTTTCCATTTATCAGATGTGTTTTCTTTATTTTTAACTGGTAATCTTACGAGTAACACACTTCCTATTCTAGGGTAACACCCTCACTCACTGTACTATACCTCCGGCAGAGCAGCATTGTCCCCCTAGGACAGGATGTGTAATAGGACTACAGTACACCTGCCTATCTCTTCAGCTACATAACATGGAGGGAAAGTATTCTGTAGTTCACAGGGAGATCCCATTGAACGTATATAAACAAAACGTGAATAGTATATTTAACAATCCAAAATGGAAAAAATAAGACACATGCATTATTAGGGGTTATATACACTTTAAATATGTGTCCAAAGGATATAAAGATATTAATAGATTGAAATAAAAAAAATTGACGAAAAGGAAGAAGGAAACACATTGTCCCTGTCATTATTATTATTGTAATCTAACAAATTCACTATTGTATTAAGCTCACCTTTTAAAATGAAAGATCTGCTCTATGTAACACTACAATTACATCAAACTAGAATGTGTATTAGTATATGAGAAATCAAGTTCCCCTTTAGCTATAAATACATTTGCCAGGCTTGATGCACATTTCACGCCCATCACCACATTCCCTTTAAATAGCTTCAGGAAATGAGTTGTGAATCTGTATAATACTTGTATGAAATAAATTTCTAAATAAATAGGCGCTGATAAAAAAAGAAAAAATTAAGCTCTCAGGGGTTATTTGAGATTTTAATATAACGTAATTATTTTTTGGATTCTTTGCAAAAGATGTAAAAGAAAAATGTGAGAAGTCATATACAGAATGTAAGTACACTAAATACAGTTATTTTTCAAGGTTTCAGTATATCAAACAATATTGCCTAATTCTTTTTCTCTCCACTAACAAAAATGAGTAGTGCATGAAATAGCAAACACTATTGAAGGGAATTAAGCCTCTGGCTATGTTAGATTATACAATCTAAATAAAACAGTTTTTTTTCTTTGCTCTAGGGCCATCTTTACCTTTGAGATATACGTATTGTCAGAACGTATGTTTCTTTTTGGAGCTGAAAATGCAGAGTCTCAGCGAGAATGGGCCAAGGCACTATCTAAGGTAATGCAGATAATTATCTGATAAAGCTATGCCTCGGGCATTAGCATAAAATAAATTGGCGTTAACTGTATGCTCTCAAAAGAGCCAGCTTTAATTTCATTTTTTTCAATATGTAAATATTTTTTAGTGTAACTGTGCTAAAGGGAAATTATCTAGACAACTTATAAAACTGTAAATGCAACAATATCTGTGATATGTTGAAAAAAAAAACTATTGGGTATTTAATTTACCAAAATAATCAAAAAAAATGCACACAGTGGTTTCAAAAGAAGCATGTGTTAAAGGAATCTACTTTACCTTAATTGTTATTGGTATAATCAGTAAAGATGGCTATGCAAGTGCCTGCTCTTTCTTATTTATAGGTTTGCATGTTGAAACTCCAATTCTTCTGGTTTGGGGTAATATATATCAAAAAATGGCATCACATTTACTACATTTAGCAAATAGATGTGACTTCTGGCCCAAAATGCCCACATGCCCGATACTAAACAAGTCCGATGCTGTAGAAGAGAGAGCTTTGTTTTTGTCATAATAAAGCAAATAAACAAGGAAAAGGCAAATGTAATTATTTTTTACCTGAAATTTTAACACATTTCTACAGTTATTGATATTTATAAAATGGTGTCATATTGATTTATTTTTCCTTACACAATAATATTTAAGTAATCGTTCCACATTAGACACCTGTGGACCATCCACTGTAGATATACAGGTGAAACTCGAATAATTCGAATATCGTGCAAAAGTAATTGCAGTAAGTGCTGCAAAAGGGGCCCAAACCAAGTACTGAGTACTTATGCATGCTTGTACTTTTCAGAGGTCAGATATTGTTCTATGTTCTTGTTTTATTGATTGCATGTAATAATCTACTTTTTTGAGGTTGTGGATTTGGGGTTCTTGGGGTTTTCATGAGCTGTAAGCCATAATCATCACAATTATGACAAATCACGGCTTGAATTATCTTGCTTTGCATGTAATGAGTCTATCTCATATATTAGTTTCACCTTTTAAGTTGCATTAGTGAAATAAATGAACTTTGCACGATATTCTAATTATTCGAGTTTCACCAGTATGGTCAGGTCACTGCCCCATTTTCCAGGAGGATGTACCCATATGTTCTACCATTGTAGCTGCTACCCCCACTGTCATTAGACAGTAGAGAGCCGGGGCTTTAGAGAGAGTCGATTGGACCAGCTCTGTGTCCAGTGATTTCTGTAATTGGGTATGACAGTGATCACATGGCAATGTTTAAATTGCCAAGCCCTCCCTTTCCCTTTACATCAGAGGCAGGTGAGAGAAAGGTGAGTAATGGATGGATGAGTCCCCCATTACATTGGGGATGTGAAGACTGGAAGCTCAGAGAAAAAAACAAAAAAAATAACATTGTTTTTGCTTTCAGTTATGCTCACAGGAAATTCAAGAACACTGTCTTTCTGGGTAGATCAACAGATATTTTCTGTACTTGCTAAAAATGTTGTAAACCTGAGAAATTGCAGCCTCCACATCCAAGGAGTAGTTTGTCCTTGGGTTTAGGTATACTTTAAACCATTGCATAACTAATTTAATGTGAATCATTCTGGTTAGAGATGATTTACTGGCCAATACATGTTTAATCCACAAAATAATTGACTGCACCTTATAGAATAATTGCTATTTGTTAAGAAGGAAATACTGATTCATCAATGTATCCATAATATTTGGGGAGAATTTAGAAATCCAGTCAGTCTTGACTCAAAAATTGTATGATTCTTCACAGTTTGGACATGTCAGACTTAAGAAAATAGCAAATATTTGCAATTATTTCCAATTCAAAGATTCATGGATTTGTCTGAATCTATTTATACTTTAATAACAAACAACATGCTTTAGGCTAAACTGTCATTTGCTAACTTACTTTTTGGCAGTACCGAGCCTCTACCATTCAAGCGCTGCACAAAAACAACATAAAACATTGAGCCAATTAGTATTTTCCAGAAACCAGTGCATTACTTGCAGTTAATCTCACATATACACGCGTGAAGTAACTACTGTACCATCAGAATCTGCTTCCCACGTAGACATAATATACACAAAATATGAACTGTTGCAGGGATGAGCGGAATTATTTTTGCTAAAATTATTTTGCTGGAGTGCGGATTGTTTAGTTTTTTTCATGTAGCATTCTTTGTAGTTGTTTGTTTTATTTTAGGATTTTTTGTGTATTTGAGTGTTTTTGTGTACTGTCACAATTTTTTCCACTGTTTTTATTTCTGTAAAATAAATAAATGCAAAATGAAGACACAATAATGAGAGGCTGTTTTATGGCACAAAACAGGTCCACGATAAGTTAAAGGAGCATGCCTAACCCTCATTAGCAATTTAAAATGACCCTTTCACCACAGAATCAAAAAAACTTAGATATAATAAACTATTAGGTGACTTTTGTCTTAAAAAAGCCACCGCTTTTCAGCCCCCTAGCTTGTTTAAGTTGTCTACACTTCCAAGTGTGTAGAAAACTTGATCCCCCACAGGCCAATATGGTTCCTACCGCTGATTTCTAGGTCCGTATAGGACGTATGGGCCATAGGGAGGAATCACAGCACACACCAGGGGGTGCAGGTATTTAACTGATCTGAAAAAACTGAGCAGAGAAGCAACAACTTTTCAATACATGGTTAGCTGCAAAGGTGTAAATTTCCAAGCTTTTTTTTACAGGTGACTATTTAGAAAAGCTGATTGGTACTCGCAGAGTCTGTGGCAGGATTTAAAGAACTTCTCTGAGAATCTCAGCCAGGACTTCCAGAAGACCCACCATTACATAGTTACATAGTTACATAGTATTTGAGGTTGAATAAAGACATTAGTCCATCAAGTCCTCCTCTCACAAGAGCTCTGACAGTACTGTTAATGGCATTTACAGAATCCATGCCTGAACTTTAGTATGCCCTAAAATGGTGCTGGGTGTGTGATGCTCTGATTCAGAGGGGTATTTAAGCACCAGCTTTGGAAGTGGCTGGTCCTGTGTCTTCAAACCAGCTACCCTGTTCATGCAAAAAACTATAATACTAAAGTTGTTTCTGTTTGCTGACCTGGACCGCCTGACCATTCTCTGCTTGCAGCCTCCCCTGAACTCTGCCTGGACCCGACTATGCTCTAATCTCCGGCCTTGCCTGTCGACTGCTCGTTGCTGACCTAGACTGCCTGACTATTCTCTGCTAGTCGCCTGCCTCGACCCCTGCCTGGATATGACTATGCTCTTGTCTTCTGTCTTGTCTTCTGTCTACTGGCTGCTGACCTGGATCGCCGAACAGTATTCTGATTATCACCTGGTTGGACCCCTGCCTGACCACACTTTGGTCTACTATCTCCACATTGGAGCCTTCCTGTTCTTGCTCATTTCTTGGCAGGGTGATCCTGAGGACTTGGTACCGACAAGCAAAGAAAACAATCTCTACCATTAGGAGCTCTGGTGAAAATTGACTGCTGCTTAAACTCTGCACCTCAGGTGAGCCTGTAAGCAATACAAGTGGCAAACACACTCATCAATTCCTTTTTCAGCTTTGAAGTAAGGTGCAAAGTAAAGGAAAGTAAGTTCGACAGTGTAATTGTTTTTTTTTTATTGTGTGCTAGGAAACATTTTGCTTTTGTATTGTGTAAAGCACTTGCATGTGCACCCTACTTTAAAGCTAGTTATAAATTGATGAGTGCCTATGCCATTTGTATTGCTTTTTGGATTTGGTATGGGGACACACTGTGGGCTTCATCTGCCATTGTGATGTGCAGGGATTCTGGTGTGTCCCTGTGCCTTTAAGGAGGAATGGGCTAGCTCCTGGCGAACCTCCACCCAATTCATCTTTTGCTTTATATATGCTCCAAGATGGAGGCTCTCATAGAATAATCTTAGGAACATTCTACACAGAGGGGCCTTGATGAGGCGGTGCGGCTTCCACATATTTTGCTAAAGTTGTGCAGCTAAAACCTCTGTTTTTAACCCTAAAAGTTAGACAATATTTTTTTTGCAGGTTAGCTGGTAAGTGTGCTGGGAAACATTTTGCTTTTGTCGGGTGAGCCTCTGTCACCTGCCAGGGGGTGTCACCCTAACACTTATCCTGTGGTGACATGGTCATTTTAAAGGCAATTGCATCCTTAAAACCACAAAAAGCACCTTAATTTCAAGTTCCTTATTGCCTAATGCAATTTCCAGATTTTCACCAAGATTTTAGGGAGATGAAACCTCTCAATTTTGCTCATCCTTGGTTGGATATGAGGACAGCATTGAGAAACACTGATTTAACCCATTGGGCTTTGTTAAGCTTTGCTGTGTAACTATTTAGAAATTAGAATGATAATTTTCCCTTTTTTTGGCTTTTGTTTGCAGAATTTTGTGCCTACTGGGAACGAGTCTTTAGTAGAATTAGACTTTGATGTTCTCGGATTTTTATATTACAAGGATTCATATACTCTCATGGAATGGAAAGAAGGATGGTTTGCCTTGGAAAAAAACTCTCTGCATTATAGTCACAGGCAAGAAAACTTTCAAAGAGAAACCATACAATTAAAGAAACTACAGGAACTTAGTAAGCTAATATAATTTAGAATTCTGTTATGTCATTTATCCAGACTTGTATGCATTATAGAGTAATCTAGAGAAGAATTTTGCCCAAATGTCTTTCTTTTTTGTAGTTTTAAAAAGAGTAAGAAACATTTTGAAACTGTCTTCTTTATTTCCAGTTTGTGCTGTCTTTGAGGTAATTTAAGTATTACAGGTGACTGGTAAGTGAGGGGAAATCCTCCTGCAAGGTCCCAAACAGCAAAACCCTTAGAGGTTCTAACATTTCTCCACTCTGCTAAAAAAGTATGTGTGTGTAAGTGTGTGTGTCTCTGTGTGTGTTAATTTCCCCTCACTTTCTGTCCCCCAGGTGACTTCAGTCAGCAGAACAGGAAGTTAGAGGACAATTTCTCTAATAGGGACACAACAATAAAAATCTGCCAAAGGTTCTCGACATTGCCTGCTCCATCCCAAAAAGTTTGACTTGTAGTTTAGCAGCCAACCCCAGGAAACATTTGTGCCAACCATTTAGCTACTAATACTATCCACCGAACACTGCAAAGGTTTTAAAGTCAGAAAGAACAACGATGAGTGCACATGTTGTAACATGTCTTCCTTTCTTCTCTTTCTTCCTTCTGTATCACCATTGAAGTTAAAATGTTCAAAACAGTTCTAAAGTATTCCTGTGATCAGACTATGAATATTCAAGTTGTTAAACATAATAGGCAGCAATTTGTCCTTGATGTTCACAACAGAAGTACTGAAGTAATTTAAGTCATTTTCTCAGCAGCTCAGCTCCCCTTGCTCTCACCTTGGCAAAGTTTATTTTAAAATGTATTTCTGCTTTTGCCGCCAAATTGAAATAATACCTATTTTATATTTGTTATATGTTCCAATTCACATAGCATAACCTAAAAAAATAAAAATAAAAAATGATTCTTGCAGATTAAATTGGTTTTGCTTGGGTTAGGGATTTATGGGTTAAAATGTCATCTTGCTTCTATTTCTTTGAACTGTTAGGAGGGGCTGTGAGGGGTGAGGGTTCTGAGGTGGCTTCTCCATTCTATGTTAATGAATACATTTCAGCCCCAAGCCTTTCTATAAGAACAGGCTACTGTGAAATGGCTCAGAAAAACCTGGAATCGGCTATCTTGCCTGAGTTAACAAAACATTTAAAAGGTAAGACATTTTTTCTAAGTTTTTTTTCAGTATGCTGTGTGAACAGGAACATCTGATATCCTGTTTTAGGATGGATCCTTTCTCTTGCAGGGCACTATGGAGCCACCCTTGTTTGTGCTAATAAGTTGTGTATGTCTCCACAAAAAAACAGGCAGAACAAGGCAAACTATCCACCTGCTTTCTGCTCCCCACTTATACTTTCTTCCTTCTCCAAGCTAGTACACGCTAGTACAGCTGCTGGAGTTTGATCTGTCCCTTGTGATCTTGTACTGGACAGAAAGCTCAGGGAAGCTGAGCTGAGAGAGTTTGAGCCAGGTATTTGGAAACATGATGCCTGTAAGTGCTTGGGCAAAAATGTAAAGGAATAAATAATAAATAAAATGTAAAGGAATGGGCAATGTATATTTGTTTGCGCTAGACTACTTTTTGAAAACAAGTTGGAGTTTAATACTACTTTAAGGTTCTGCAGTGATTCCCAAGGAAATATACACTGATATACAACATACATTATATTGCCAAAAGTATTGAGACACCTCTCCAAATCATTGGATTCAGGTGTTTCAATCACTTCCATTGCCACAGGTGTATGAAATCAAGCACAGAGGCATGCAGACTGGTTCTACAAACATTTGTGAAAGAATAGGTCGCTCACAGGAGTATTGGTTTGTTATATGGTATTATAACAAAGTGGAAGCTTCAGTACCTGACCTCCCAAATGCGCTTCTGGAAGAATGGTCAAACATTCCCATAGACACACTCTTAAACCTTGTGGACAGCCTTCCCAGAAGAGTTGAAGCGGTTATAGCTGCAAAGGGTGGGCCAACTCAATATTGAATCCTACGGACTAAGACTGGGATGCCATTAAAGTTCATGTGCGTGTAAAGGCAGGTGTCCCAATACGTTTGGCAAAATAGTGTATATACAAAGATATAAACCAAAAATACCTTTATGGACATCAGGAATTTAAAAATGTAAACATTCAGAGAAAACACATACAGATACAGAAAGCAGAACATGATTATTTATTCCGAGCAAACAAAAGACATACCCTTTGATTTTGCTAATTTTTGCAAAATGAAAACAATACCACTCATCTAATGCAAGTCAATCAATACTACAATGCTTACCTTCTTTCCCTATCTGTCTACATTTAGAAAAAATTGATAGCTTGCATGAAAGTGCAAAATCCATCATTTAAGCAGAACTTAAAAGAGCATATCAAATCTTAACCCTTGCAGTGAGGCTACCCCCATGCTTGTTTTGTCTCATTTTGTCTTATTTGCTAAAATAACAAAGTTGTACTTACCCAAACCACTATCCCGGTTTGCTCTTACACCACTCCCTCCAGCCTGTTTCTTCCTGTGTTCCAGCAATGTTATTTCCTTCAGTGTCCTCACATCCAAACATTGTATTGGACAAAGTGACTAACAGGACTTTAGACTGCTGGAGCACAGAGAGTGAGGTTGAAGCAAGCGGTCTAAGAGCAAGGCATGATCATAGTCCGGGTGAGTATAACTCTTTTATTTTAGCCCTTAGAGAAAACAAGCACTTAGCCGTTGTGTGTGGGGGAAGTTCCACTGCAAGGCTTAGGATTTGATTTGTCTGGAGTTCTGCTTTACATATACATCACAGACAGTGAATATGGTGCATACAAAATGTTAGCTCTCACAATAACCAGTATATGATGAACAACTCTGTGTTCCACCATATAGCAAAATAAATTCAATGTGAAATTATAATAAACCACCACAATTAAGTGCTAGTGCCTCTTATTCCAAAAAAAACTTTTATTTCATGCTTGCAACAAGTTATATTACTTTATATACAGTTCATAATCTACTGTTAGTCCACTGTATCTATTTCCACTTAAAGGAGAACTATGGAGGTGAGTGCTTTTCACTCACCTCATAGTTCTAGCCGACCTGTGACAATGAGACTGTCACAGGTCGGATCAGTAGATCGGGAAGTGAGCGAACACATACTGGTGTTCGCTTACTTCTAGATCCCGTCACGGCTCTCTGCCGTGACAGGGGAGGGGCTGGATTCCCCCCTCCCCACTCCAATCCACCAGCGCTGAAGGGGCGGGTACAGCTGGCTCTGCCTCTAGATAGGCAGAGCCAGCTGTCACTCACGCAGCTGGGCGGATCTCGACATCGATGTCGGGATCCACTCTGGCTGGGGCGTCTCAGTATACCGCGAGCTGTAGCCATTAGATATACCATGGAACACAGTGAAGACTGTCTTTAACAAGTGTAGAAAATATGGCACAACAGTGACATTACTAAGAATGGCTTCTACATATGATGCCATGTGTATCTGACATCAATAAAAGGACATATTGATGTATTAGACCTTGGTGTGCGGGTGACTATTTTCTCTATGTTTGAATATGTGTTGCGCCATCCCCATGTCATTCCAGCACCCACTTGCATACTATGGTGGAATTCTGGTCTGTTGTGCAATGGGAGAACTGTAATTACCAAGAACAATTGATGAAAAAACAAGAAATCTGGTCCAGGAGGCTGCCAAGAGGCGTACAGTAACATTAAATGAGCTGCAGTCATTTCTAGCAAGTACTGGTTGGGTACTACATTTGAAAAACATCTAAGCATTTTTCAAAAACCTACACAACCTAACAAAATCATGTGGGAAAATGTGGTATGGTCTGAGACAAAGATTGAACCTTTTGACCATAATTCTTACAATAATTTTTGGCACAAAAAAATTCATCACCAAAAGAACACCATACCCACAGTGAAGCAGGGTGGTGGCAGCATTATGCTTTTGGGCTGTTTTTCTTCATCTGGAATTGAGACTTTGGTCAAGTGGAGAGACTTATGAATAGTTCCAAATATTAGTCAATTTTGGCAGAAAACCTTCAGTAATTGAGTGACTATATTTCTTTATAAGCCACTTGTATATGATTCACTAGTAGAACAGTCCATTCTTAGATAAAGATGAGGAGTTACAGCCAGCGATTTATAATTAGGAAATACTAATGTTCAGCATGCGTTCCTCTACAGCCCTGCTACTTGGCATATAACTCAACAACATAAACAGTAGAAGTTGATTCACTTCACAGTTCAGCAACTCATAAAGTAACAGTGGAAGTTGACTTCACTTCATAATCATAAACACATTTTTATGAAAGGCAGTATTGAGTAAAAGTGCTTGCGGTTTTGCAGACAGGCTCTAGTTTCACTGTTCTTTTCAACATGGAGGCCTTCTTGGAAGCTGTATAGGGAGGTAGGATATGGAGATGTAGGTGGCCTATGAACAGCAACAGAAGAGACAGTGCATCTTATGTCATACACTTCCCGATTTGAGTAGGAAAAGAGAGGACTAGTAGACTTTAAAGGAGTTGTAATGAATGTGAGTGGATGAGATGCTGCTTATCTGCCAGGATGGAGAGTGGAATGAAATAGCTACTAGTGGAGGTGAATGTAGCGAATTGCCAGGAAGGAGAGGGGAACTGTCTGCTGCAGTAGTCAGGATGATGAGTTCTCTGAGTACACCTGCTCAGTGTCAGAACATTGCTTGAACACTGAACAACTGTCCCTTCTGGCTAAAGTCAGCTGGGCAGGAGGAGCTGGATGATGCCTCAGCTTCTAACAGTCAGGGAGGCGGCGCTGAACATCAGAGCTGGAGTGATGATAGGTGAGTATGTTACACCTAGCAATTAATTATTTCTATGTTAACTGTTACTAATAAAATCAATTTTGGAAAATAGATATCAATATTGTAAACTAGGCTAAAGCTGTTAAATTAAAGTAGTTGAACATATGTTTTTTTTTTTATTCTAGCAAAAACATCATCTGTTGAAAATGGAGAGAAAATTAATATTTTGTTGTTGGTTGAAAATGGAAGGTAGGATATGTTTTCCATTTCTTTTTCCCTCCCCTTTTCCTCCTTCTATGGATGTGCACTCTACCTGTGATAGCAAAGGGGATTTTTATTTTTTGAGGACTGTCCAACATCACTTGCAGGGCAAAACATTTTCTTGTTTATCTCCCCCACCAAAATAATGGTTACCATAGATATATGAAGCAATTTTTCAAATGTGAGCAGAGCAGTCTGCTAAAATAGGATTGTACACAGCAATTCTTGTCTTAAATTTCTGCTAATCCAATGCTCAGATATTCTAACTATTACATTAATTACCTCAACCTAAGACAACTCAACCTAGTTTATATTTACTTTTTTCTTTCAGAAGTGATAGAGTTTTTTCATTTACCTTCCACAATATTAGAAATGTTTCTAGTTGATTTTGAATGTGCTATTCTAAATGACAAGGAATGCCTAGTATGCTTTGCCATTCAGGTTATAGGATATTTTAGGAGTTTCTGGTTTCCCGTCTAAGTGTATGGAAAGTCATTTTTTTTCTCTTTATTTTGGATAGAGAGTGAAAGGGTTAGACCATGTGTCAATTTTCTATTGCTATCTAGGCCCCGTTGTGCTTGGAGATACACATTGTTACATAATATGTAATATAAAGAGTGTAATGTTAATGTTAATATTCTTCAACTGCCACCATCCCATGGTATGTTTAACATTTACGTGTGAAAACAGGGGCTTTACTTATGACATTAAAGGTTGTAAACATATAGATACAGATAAAAATATCAAGTTTTATTAGTATTCCCAATAAAAACCAAACATGATTTGCTAATGAAATCATAAGCTTTGGTAATTTTCACAATCCATAACAGTTAGAGAATTAACATTCATGTACATGATAAATGTAAACAAGTATTGATGGACCCATATCAACACTTTTTGCAGTTGATTCTGCTTCTTCAGGACCGGGTCCCCTCATAACTGCAAAGAGCGTCCCCTCACAACGGCAAGTGTACCGAATAACAAAGAATGGCACCATCATCAACAAGAACCAGGGACAAGAGCAATGGTCCTGAGGGTGGAGAGGTGGTTTCAATGCTTCTTTAGTTAGTCTATGCACTCATTCCTGTGCAGTTGTGGGGGACAGTTCTTTGACCTTTGAGTATTTCCATAAATATTTAAATATTACTATCATTATTAGTGTGTATCAATATGTTTACAATATTTAATGCCACAATTAAAGTAGCTGTTTTTTCAATGTACATTTGATGCACCTTGCTGTTTCTCCTGGGGGCCATTGGTCCACAAGACTGAAAGTGAGGAGAAACCCAAAACATTTGTCATTGGAGTAGATGGTGAGCATTAATTATCAAATGAGGACAAATGTTCTGAAGACAGATGTCTAAGATGGGGAATTTGTAAGATGGAAGAACTGAAGTAAAATCTCCCTAGTGGGACACAGACAGCACAAACAAAACCTGACAGAGATTTTAATCCTTTCCTACTCTATCCAAAACAAAAAACATTTTCACTATAAATACACTTTAGTGCATGTTCCAAGGGTTTTCTGCTAAAGTGTTTCTTAATTCAAAAGCCTTAATGCTCACTTTATTAAATTAGTATTTTAATGTGGAATTGGTTTAACAGAATTCCAGGTTCACATTGCTCTTAATCCAGTGCACAAATATGAATCTTTATAAAAAAACTATTTGCACATTTACAAAAAGAGGACAGCATATAGTTTTAGCAGTGTGCACATCTTTACCTATACATTTTATTGGGAAGGAGGAAACAAATGTATTGTAATGAATCAAGATTGAATGAGGTTGGTGAACTTTGAATTTGGCATAGTGAAGTAAGTTATCTACAATAACAAAAGCAAAAAAATAAATACATAAAGCAGAAGAAACTAACAAAAAAGCCAAAGTAAATCAAATGAAAAAGCTTAACAATATAATGCTTTTAGGCAATGCCAGTCTGTGTTGCAGAAGCAACTGAGTGGAACTTTACTGATATTCTAGGCAGACAATGCATCTGAGTAATATTTTAACAGCTGAATAACTTTCTTTTCAAACTAATCAAAGGTTCTGTTAAATGAGGTAAATGTGAAACTGCTGTTTTATATACAAGGCTCTGCAATCATTTTATTTAGACCATGCAATAACAATAACTCAAGACTAGAGGCAGGAAGACAGCTCTAACCACAAACTTTACAAGTGATTAATTTACTACAGAATGGGTGGCAGAGCTTATATTTATGGCATGTCAGGGGCTCTTTGACTGTGATTTCTCAGCAATGTTATTCATTTACAGGCAATGGCTCTTCTATTACAAGGTTACTGTGGATCTATAAGCAAATAGTTATGTTTTTCATAGCTTGTGTATTCTTTTAACTATTTTATTTTCTCACAGTGTATTTGTCAATTATCAGTGTATTTAAACATTTTCTATTTTACTTTTGACCCCATATGTTAACTGTCAAATATGTGTTATCAAATGCTTTGGATGATTTTTAAATCAGGAAAGAGCTCTAACTGGCTGGTTGAATGTGTAGACATGTGGGAGTTGAGCTTAATTTGCTTACTGGGGCTCTTAACAGGCAGGCACATTATTATTATTACATAGTATTTATATAGCGCCAACAGTTTGCACAGCGCTTTACAATATAAGGAAGACATTACAATACAATTCAAGACAGGATGGTAAGGAGGGCCCTGCCCCTGAGGGCTTACAATCTGAAAGAGGAGGGGGAAATGATACATGAGGAGGTAGCTGTGTGGGGATGAATTGTTTGAGAATGTGATGGTTCAATGGTTAGGTTGAGGTGGGATAGGCATAACATTATAAGTTCTAACTGCTGGCCAAACACATAGTTAAAATAACTGAGGCTCTTGTGACCATGGTATGAAAATTAGTAAAAAAGGGTTTAAAGAAGAACTGAACCACTGGCGGAACTACCAGGGTCGCAGCGGTCACAATTGCGACCGGGCCCTGGCGTTCCGCCACTTGGGGGGGCCCAGCAAGGACGTAGAGGCCCCCCCCCCGCGCGATCGTGCCGCTCCTTCCCTGTCACACAGCCACCCGCAGCATGTACGGGCGGCTGTGCGAAAGGACTGGAGACGCTGTCACTGATCCCGGAGAATGAGATGGCCCCGCCCCTTAGAGGCGGAGCTAAGAGGGCTGCCTCTTAGCTCCGCCCCCTGGCCGCCAAGACGAGGAAGAGGGCCATGGGCCTGCAGGAGAGGGAAGGTAAGTTTGGAGTGGGAGGGGGCTCTGGGAAGAGAGAGAGAGAGTGTGTGTATGTGTTGCTGGGACTTGTAGTCCAGCACAGCTGGTGGTAATCTGCATTGCTGTATGATGATTACACAGCAATGCAGAATAGCACCAACTATGTAGGACTACAAGTCCCAGCAATGCATTATAGGGTGGGGTTTGGATGCTGGTGGTATTCTGCATACCTTACTTTTATTATAATGTATTGCTGGGACTTGTAGTCCCGAATAGCTGGTGGTATTCTGCATTGCTGTATAATCATCATACAGCAATGCAGAATAGCTCCAACTATGTAGGACTACAAGTCCCAGCAATGCATTATATTTTTAAGTAGGGATACACCAGTGTTAATACTGTGCATTTTCACAAGTATTCATACTCGTGAAAATGCCCCGATACTAAACGTAGATACCGTGTGTTCTGTCGAGAACGCGGACCTAGTCGAATTTTCCGACCTCAGCATCTGCTCTTACACACAGACCAATATTATCGAGGAAACCGGGATTTATTGACAAAGTATTTTGTTTAAATCGTTAATTGTGACCGATAATAATATTCTGTCCATCATTTCCTGCCACCCATCATTTACTGCCATGGACGGCATATCATTAACGGTCACAATTAACCATTACAAACAAATACTTTGTAAATAAATGCCGGTTTCCTCGTTAATCCCGTCTGTACATAAACACAGATACTGGGTCAGCGTTCTCGACAGAACACCGGCACTAAAATTTTAAACAAGTAGCTGCCTGAGGTCCCACGCTTGCACTGGGGCATCGAAGGTTCTAGTTACGCCTCTGAACTGAACTATGGATAAAAAGCAGGTGGAGGGCAAAAAAATAGTCACCAACATTGCATGTGGTCTCCCTGCATCTGATATGTTTCCCATAATTGACTTATTATGCCTTGTTCTTCAGTTAGCAGCAAAGTAGTGACATCACCAAATTATTAATTCTCACTTAAAATCTCACTCAAAATCTAGAGACAGCAGTGCCTTATATCTCACACTGCAGATATACAGCTATGAGGCTGTAAGCACAGGACTGCCTAGGAGTTCTCACATACTAGGAAATGTAATGTTTTTTTTTTTCAAAAGACAAGAAAGATGAGTAAGACAAGAAAAAAAAATAGAAAATATTTGTTCATGGTATTGCTTCAGCACGTTTACATTTTCTAAATGTTCAGCATAACTCAACCTTTACTCTTCCAATTTAGGTTTTCTTTAAGTAAACTATTATATACTTACATTCTTCGGGTACGTAATGATCTACTGGGAAGGGTCGTGCATTGGTTTGAGAACTTGTGGGTTACCTGACCTGAAGAGCTTTTATGAGCTGGTTCCATGGGTCATGGTATTTAAGTAGACTTCTGCAGTTTACTTCCGGTACAGGAGAGACTATTGATTTAAACCTTTGACACTGGTGCATCTCCCTTCAGCATGCATTTTGCTCAAGAAAAATGCAATTTATGTGAAAAAACAATAATGTCTGTATTTTATTCCCGTCATTGCTCTGCAGTGAAATGTATTTTTAAAAGTTCATACATGCTGCATTTATGTTTTGCTAACATATGTTCAAAAAGACTCACTAAATAAATAATAAGCACAAAATAATGCACACATCAGCTATGTTCAGTGTATCGGAAATTTCTTTTGTTAAATGTTTTTCCTCCTGCATTTTGCAATGTATAAACAAAAAATATGCATTAGTAATAATATATAATAAACACATCCAAACAACATGTTAATGTGTATAACTGAATGTGAAAACCCAACCAGTAACACTTGCATTCACAGAATCCTATTGCACCCGTGGTGTAGGGATTTATGGGGCAAGATACCCAAAACTCATGGCATATCAGCCCAGTATGATACTTCATAAATAGGACACCTCCTAATAAGAAAGTATAATGCTTTCTTATCATGGCCACAGTGTCACAGGGTATGCATAATATCATCCCATGGTAACTCTGTACATAAATAAAAGTGGGGTCTTCAGTGGGTATTGCTTGCTGAATTTCAGCAGTTAGCAGCAGGGTGCCTTTCTGAAATTGTGAGGTGAACTGGTAAGGTGTCCTTTGGATGCTTAACCCCTTTGCTGCTATCAACGTAAGGCTTACGTTGGTGGCAGCATGGACTTTTAAACAGCTTGGGTCAGCTGTATTGTGCTACAGGGCCAGCAGGTCTGCAATAGCAGCTGGGACTGTGTTAAACCCACAGGAGCTGACTGTTTTGTGTTTAAAGTTATTTGGGTGACTGTACAGCCACCTGATCAAGGGCTCCAGAATTAGCACCCTCCTGACCAACACCCCTGTCATGTATTCTGGGATATATGGAGGCCCTCCTGTTTGCCTGGTAAAGGCATAGTAGGAGTCAGTGGCTAGATGGGAGGGAGATGAGCAGACATTCTTTTGCTGATCTCTCCTCCTGCAAATGGCTGAGGAATGATAGGCCTGAACCCGGAAGCAACACATTTATCGTCACTTTTGAGTTCAAAGCTGTCTTTCCCCAGCCACAGAGGCCAGCTGATCAGCCATGATCCTAAATGGAGTAGAAAGGTGGCATTAGGGGTCTAATAAACCCTTAATGTCTTCATAAAGAAAACATATCACATATAATGTGCTATCACACATTAGCTATAAAAAGTTATTAGTCATGTAAAAAAGTTTTAAAAATGAAAATAGCATAAAAAACATTTTTTTTTCAAAGCCCCCCACCCTCACTTGCATGAACCTATGTACCTAAATGTGTATATTGGGTGTGTCTACATACAAATTGTGCCACACACACGTTACATATTACTGCACATGCTGCAATAAGAGCAATAGTTCTAGGGCTATTATTCATGGTTAGTTCTAAACTGATGACCTGTGAAGGCTTTTATCGAGTTGCTTATATATTTTGTATCAACTAATTAATTAATATTTTAATTTGAATGCATTTTTTGCAAAAAAAATGTGTGTGATAAACAGTTGCACAAATATCATATGCTTTAAAAAAATGCAGCTGTCACCCTTTTATTCTCCAGGGTCTTTGCTTTCAGAAACTGTATAATCAGGCCTAAAATGTGTGTTTTGACATGTGTGTTAAAAAACAAAAAAAAGAAGCATGGCTCTGGCTGCAAAAAAGTTAACAGTGAACTAAAGCAATCAGATAGCCTAGTTCTGTTTCACTTATTCCTAATTGTTTGTGTGGATGACACCAGCATGAAGAATATTTATTGCTTCTTTATTAAGTGTGTTCTTATCTACAAAATGTGTTAAATCTATCAGAAATGCATACCTTACTATACAAATGGCATCCTAATAAAAAAAAAAAATAATAACAATTACAATGCTTTAGACACAGCAGTATAATTAAATAATTACCTATTTAAAACTGGTTAGTGAGCATTGGTAATTCTAGGTAGCAGGAATATGCCTGTATCTGTGTATATTTACTGAGCATCATAACATGTTATGCCTTAAAAGGCATAATATATTAACTTGTCTTTATAACAATCTCTTTGTCTTCATAAAGGGAAAGCAGTTAGGAAAATGTTCTAATGATCATGGCTTTATTTTTACAACTGTAGCTGGCATTCAGGTGAAATGTACATGATCACACTTTGACTGCACTGCCTTAAGGTGGGCTTACGCTGACTGCAAATGGGCAGTGTGCGCGTGCGCACACCGGCCCGTGTCCACACAGTTTAGTGTAGTTGGAGGAATCTGTTGCACCTTTTCCATCTGACCATAGAAAATCTGCACATAATTGTAAGGTGTATGGCCAGGATTATGGTTGTTCCATTTTATGAAAAACTGTAAAGCATAAAATGTAAAGACAAACAAAAAACTTAAAAATAAGGTTTAAACAATGTTGTAGGTACATACTCTATGGGGTCTATTCACAGCCGAGTGAATGACCGATCTGAAGTGAAGTGAGCCGAACACTGTTCGGCTATTCACTTCAGGCTGGTACGGCTAATTTCAGCCGTACATCGGCTGAAATATTTTTGCTGTGAGTGTGTAACAACAGAAGAGAGTATCTAAAACATCTTTCTCCAGAACTTTTAAACCGTAGGGCATAACCACCGTATGTGATTCATATATTAATTGGAATCACATCCTTTAATGTGTTGCATTTTATGCATTTGCATTATACTGGAGAAGCTTTCTTGCAAATATCTGCAAATAGGGTGATATTTGGGGAAGTCAAAGTCAGCTGCAAAGATTTAATAATACATCTAATCTGAGGAAAGAACTGTTTTATACAATGCATATAATGTCACTTGGCTGACCAGAGTTTTATTTTTCTTTACTCTGGATGAAAACTGAAATGTCACATTCGATTTTTAATTGATTAGCATAAGGAAAAAAAAAACCTTTTGACACTTGGCTTATTTACAATATATTGCAAACGAAGTGACTGTCCATGAGTTCTCTTACACTGTTAACTAATTAAAAATCTCAGGTGTCTTTAGGCCTTACATTTATTACTAGGAGGACATCCGGAGGAAAGCTAAACTGAAATGTACATCTGTCATATTTGTGAAGCCAGATTATAGTATAGAATTCATGGCTCACAAATACATTTGCAAGGGGAATTTTTTTTGTTTTATTGGCCTGTTCACACCATCTCCAGATCATCTACAGACCAGAATATTTTTTATCTGTGCAAAAAATGCATACACAGTTATTCCAATGTTTTTTTAAATGAGGCTAGGTCACACCATTACATTCATGTCCAGAGCCTTTAAAGAAAGTACAGCATGCTGCATTTTTTTCTCTGGAATGCACCAACATTTCACCAGAACTCACCAGAGCACACACTAAATTAATTGAGAACAAAAGAAGTGCACCAAAATGCATCAAAAACGTGCATGCATACGTTTGCAGAAACACATCCAGAGCCGGTCTGGTGGTGCTGTGAACATTTCAGCCAGTAAGGGGTTTAGTCATAGAGATGGATGTTCACTTGTATATAGAGCAGCAACAGTTTATGGACAGTGGTGTTTGGAATGTATTTGTATTGAGTTTGCATTGCGTTTGAGCACTTGTGAGCTATTTAACTTAAAAAAGTAATTTCCATTGCACATTATTGGATGTTTTTTTTTAAATGTATAAAAGTCAAGTGTGCTATTTAAAAAAGAATATTGGGAAATGCTGTGTTGTAAATAAAGATGCAGTACACTTAACTGTACCTAAATTAGAAGTAAAATAAAAATGGCTCCAGATAAATGAATATATAACCATTTTTAGAGAACCAATTATCTTTGAGCCAGGTTCACAGGTTTTACTTGTAGGTAGCAGTAGAGTACTGCATACCTTAAGTTGAGGCTCTTGGTCCCAGTGAAGTGTTTTCCTCTTGGGGGTTGTAGATTATTCTGTAAATCAATAAATTGTGTCTGTTTTATGGTATTAGTGTTATAACACACGTTGTGTATTTTTAAATATATAAAATTTGATTTTATTTTAAGTGGATTTGTGCCTTCTAAATACATTTTCTTAACTTAATTTTCTAATGTGCAGGACATTATACGTCCATGGTCATACAGTATTGGATTTCATGGTCTGGCATTGTGCAATTGAAAAAGCAGCAGGTACAGATGGTAATGCACTACAGGATCAGCAGCTCTGCAAAAACAACATTCCTATTATTGTGAACAGCTGCATGGCATTTGTTACGCAGTATGGTAGGTAGTACAGAGTTTATGTTCAGCAGATTGTTTTTTGAATGACATTATTTATTTGTAAGCTTGTTGAAATATGTGTATTTTAGTATATATGAAGATAAGGCGGTGGGGAAAAAAAAAAAAAAAGCTTTATGTAGCTACTGCATGCTTTTTTTCACTTTAACGGGAGACCTGCAAACGTATTCTATAAGCAATGCAATTGAAGTGAAGCATAGTGAAAAGTTACTCATAGTGACCGATTAGAATTCATTTTAAAAAAGACAAGCTGGTGCAAGATACACCAATCAGCCATAACATTATGACCACTGAGGGTTATGAGCACCTGGAAGTGGGTGGGATATATTGGGCAACAAATAACAATTTGGTCCCTGAAGTTGATGTGTTGGAAGCAGAAAGAAGCATAAGGATTTGAGCGACTTTGACAAGGGCCAAATTGTGATGACTAGATGACAACTTGGTCAGAGCAACTACAAAGATGCAGCTCTTGTAGGATATTCCTGCTCTGCAGTGGTAAGGACATACCAAAAGTGGTCCAAAGAATAACTGGTAAACCGGCGACAGGGTCAAGTACACCCCTTCATGGAAACGGTATTACCTGTTGGCAGTGGCCTCTTTCAGCAGGATAATGCATCCTGTTACATTTGCAAAAATGGTTCAAGAATGATTTGAGGAACACAGAAACGGGTTTGAGGTGTTGACTTGGCCTCCAAATTCTTCAGATCTCAATCCAATTGAGCATCTGTGGGATGTGTTGGAAAAACAAGTCCAATCCATGAAGGCCCCACCCTGCAAGCTCAGGGCTGTTTTGGTGACAAAAGGGGTCCTACTCAATATTAGGTGGGTGGTCATAATGTTATGACTGATCGCTGTATATTCTTACAGTATTGCAGTGAATTTTTTAATTAGCTGACTGGTTCTCCTCACTTTTTTTGATTTAACAGCCATAGCTGAGTACATAAAACACCCTTTGTATACATACAAAATGGGCTGGTGCAATTCCTAACAACCTATGGAGAGAAGTGTTACATGCTGGAAAGACTGAAGACCAATTTTTCAGTTATTGTCCACATATATCTATTTCTGCCCAGAGTTGAATTCCAGGACTATGTCATAATCCAAGAAAATTTTAGATTAAAAAAATACAAATAACTAACATAATAAAATGTTGCAATTGGAAAAATTGTCTTATTTCACGGTTCAGACAGGCATATGGCAGTCACAATAAATCAGAAACCTTAAAACCATTGGATTTGATAAAACCAGCACATATCAGGTGATTAAAGCTGATATTTCAGCTGCTATAAAAGCCACCATATAAGACAGCCCTAGTGAACCATTGAATTCATTTTTAAAATGCAAGTAGTGTAAGTACCTGAATTTGACATGATATCAGCCTTCTGCAATCCCCTGTGAAGCGGAGCTTAGACTGGCAGAGGAAGGGGCAAAACTTGAAGCCAATAAAGTGTGCTACATGCAGATATGCTTACAAAAAGCATTTTGATAGGACGACAGAGCAAAGTGAGCGAAGAGATCACCACATCAATCAATTGCTGCTTTCTTACTGTCCAGTCAGGGATAGAACATGACACCACTCTGTTCCTTACCTGTTACAGAGAAAATGGTGTCATCGTACTGGCTGTGCTGTCTGACAGGGCAATGTAAATTTCAAGATTGTATGGACAGAAATATAAATACCTTTGGCAGGAAAAACAGCCCCCATGTATGTATTTCATATGTGTATTTATTCAGCTGTTTGCCCGGAGTTCAGATTTAAAATTGTACAAAATAAAAATACTGTAGAAGCTTGTCAGGTACTAATTAAACAGTAAACTCCTGATTGGAAAAGTGAATATTCAGCCTTTCATGCTTAAAAAAAACACTAAAATCAGTATCAGTGCACACACACAAAACAAACATAATTTACAAGATTCTGAATAAATCTAAAAGATAAAACATATTGAGTTAATAAATAACAAACAGATGAACATTTTAAATTGTGCCTTATTGCGAAATGGTAAAAAAATTATGGAACGCAAAACTGTAAATATGCAACTAAATATGCAAGATCTTTGTTGTGGTAACGCCTGATCTGCAGTGCTGTTTGTGTGCTGTGTTGGTGTGAGTTGTGATAAAATGATGTAGGCATACATTTAATCGCAATACAGTGTATCACAACACATGGCAATGGCATCTTCTTTATGCTCAATAAAAATATAAGTGGCAAAAAAAAACAATGCACAGCAATGCATCACATGCCATGCACTGCTACACAGTTAAATGAATGTTATTTTAACCACTTGCTGCAGGTGACCGTACATATACAGCCGGCCACATAAGTGGTTATACCAAGAACACAGATCTCTGCTCCTGTCACACCCTAGTTGCTATAACACAGGGGGCTTGTTAGCCCTCTATGGGATAGCAATAAAGTTGGTGTAAAAAAAAGTAAAAAATTAAAGTAACATAATTTTTTTTAAATGCAAAACAATTTTTTTTAAAGTCCCCCGCCCCCTACGTGCACCCACATACATATGTAAACACACCTAAACAGCCCCTGACATTTCCCCTTTGAAATAGAAAAAGAGATTGGGGACACAGAGTCCTCAATTGTTTTTCTACAGCTCCAGCACTAAATGAACAAGAAGCACACTGTTATGAATGGACAGGAAACCTCTGTACTGAGTGCTCCTATTCATTCATAAACTAAGCATATAGTGATCTTATGTCCCCACTTATGAATGAACAGGAGGGGATGAAAGGTCTGTCTTGTAAACTATACTGCAGACAAATAAGACTGAACTGGTGACATGGTAAGCTTTAGAGGCGGCTCTAGACTTTGTCGGGCCTTAGGCGAACCTCAAATGTGAGGCCCCCACTTACACCCATCATGAAAAATTAACTGTGATGATCAGTGATTAGAGCGAGCCCAAGGCTGGTGCAAAGATTTTGCCTACACAGGTCCCCCCCTTCCCGGCACCCTCAGCCTTATGCTAGCGCCAGCCCTGGTCCCATGTAACCTGGGAGGTGAGCTGATTAGGGTTGCCACCTTGTCTTCCAGCGAAACCCGAACACTCTAGCACAGTGCACCATTTTTTTTTTGCAGAATATACAGGAGATAGAGCAAGGGGATACAGCCAGGAGAGAGAGCGAAGAAAGACAACCAGGAGAGAGAGTGATGGAGAGGAGAGACAGCCAGGTGAGAGAGAGGAAAAACAGCCAGGAGAGAGAGTGAGGAGAGACAGCCATGAATTAGAGCGAGGAGAGACAGCCAGGAAGGAGAGCGAGGAGAGAGTGCTGAGATGATATGCAGGCGGACTAGATTGCTAGGTGTCCAGCATGTAGGGTGTGTGGAGTTGCAGGGCCTACATGTAGGCGCTGGGGTGCAGGATGACAATGAGCAGGCAGCATTTCTGGTTACACACAGCCAGTGGTGAAGCTAGACATTCCGTCACTCAGGGCAAAGACTCCCCCCAGTAGATGTTCTCCATTCACACACACCCCGCCCCCACCCCACACTTCTGGGTTATCTTCTTTTGTCATGGTGGTGCCCCTCCTGATCCACCGCAGGTGAGGCTTCAAATCACCTCATTCTCCAGTTCTGCTTCATTAATTAAAGAGCCGCTCCTGGGCTCGCTTCTATTTTCTCTCTGTGAGTGTGCGCTGTGTATTACAATCTGCCAGGGCACATGCCGTATGTTCTGCAAAACAAATTAGTCAAAGTGGAGGACCTAAGGAACTATACCTCTTGCATATACCACAGTGCAGTACAGAAAAAACTGAACCAGTCACAACAGTCTCTCCAACAAAGGAGCTTACACATGTCCCCCACAGTCACACAGGTCAGTATAAGTACCGATACTTTTCCACAAGTACTCGCCAGTACTAAGATACTTTTTTTAGTGTCATGTGACAGTTTTTCTAAAATATTACAGACTAATGATTTTAGGACGGGACACAGATGAACTGGGAATCTGTACATTATATCTTCCAATATAGTGTTCATATTCTCGGTTCGTCAGTGTCCCGTTCTAGCTGCTTGCCCCATGCAGGGGTGTAACTAGAAACCAAAGGGCCCCATAGCAAAAAAAAATTATGGGGCCACCTCCCCAAAAGAATGCAATTAAACATTCTCCACTAATGTTCCTGCCCAACAACGCTTATATTTGCTCAATACAGTTTCTAATAAATCTCATGTGTGAGAAGGCAACACATAGCTTTTGCACAACATACCTACCATGTGTTATAGTGTGGCAGGTGCATTGCATTGCCATTCATTGAAATTGCACCCCAACACACCTCCCAGCCACAATGTGATCTACCGTGGTGCAACATGCCGTACCACAATGAAGTGAAGTAATAGTGCATGTGTTGGTGTGCCATTCAAATATTAATCGCATGGTACCGTGCAAAAAACACACCACAGTGGTGTGAATGAGGCCTTTAGGTATGCATTGTGCACCTCCCCTTAGATTCAGTAAAGGTATGCAAAAAACAATTGTTTTCTCTGTGGCCTGTTATCACCACAATGTGGGTGTGATGTGCAATGTGCTCTCTGACATGTTGCATTTTTTCGTGTGCAGCATGCTGTGCTGCTAGTGATCACTGGTGCTGCTGAGAAACACTAGTCACTGCTGATAGTGTGAATGAGCCCCAAGAGGTTTACCGAACTCAGCAGCAGTCACCATGGCACAAATGTCCAAATCTGCCTAGAGTTCAGCTTTAAGTTGGTGACAGGGTTTCTTTAAAATCTATTTTGATGCCTGTCCCTGGTAGTAGATTCAAGTTTGATAAATAAAGTTTGATAATTCCTAGAAAGCAAATCCCAGGGATGGTACCAGAAGACACTGCATGGTGTCATTATCCAGTGGAGAATTGCTGTGTTCTCCCCCTATGACTTCTAATGAGTGGCCTGTGTCCCCCATGAATAACACAGCACAGGCACCCTCATATTCCCCCCCCCCCCCCTCGAATATCTACTCACTTGGCTGTGCCTCGGTACA